AAAGAAGCAAAAATATATCGAGAAGATAGAGGAAACAAATCACGCCGCGATCACATCCTTTCCATCTTTGTAATCATTTTGCACGGTAATTGTACGGCAACCTCGAATAAGACTACATTTTGAGAAAAATTTGGTTTTTGAATTTCTTGCACTCGGTTTCACGGAGAGAATTTAATTTGACTTAAGGCAAAAGCGAGCTGCAACAACTTGTTAGTGTTGACGCGTGATTTAATATTTCATCTGACGAGTATTATTTTTAATTCATCATTTAATACATCATGATAATAATAATGTGTTATCTAAGAAGAAATATTTCTTATTACCAAGTCGTCAAAAAACCTGCGTTATTCAACTAAACGGATTGTTACCATTTTTTAGTTACATCAGATGTATATTTATTCATAGTGAATACAACCGTGAAAACAGTTGCTTCATGTTCTCACAGATAGTTCAAATTTTTCAAGAAAGTTTCCAACTCATGATTCAGAGATCAAAGTAGAGATTTGAAGCCACGAAATGAGAGTGAATTGTTTACATGATTTTGCTTTACAAACTTCTTGCATCAATTAAAATTATTTAAAGCTATATCTGGCGCTGAAATGTAAATAATCGGCAATATTCCATCGCGAACTGGTGCAGTTATGCTTTTCGTTACATGAACAATTAAGTCTCACCTGACCAATGTTGTCCAACAGTTTATACTGATTCAGCTGAAGAGCTCCCTGCTTGCTGCCGATGGAAACTCTTCTGCTCTCTCTCGGGGCTTTCCTCCTGTTTCCAGGACTCCCCTGAGGGCTCCCGTACGGCGAACAAGGACAATACGGATAAATAGGTCTGACTGACACGTTTTGTCCATCGCCAGGGAATCTTTGACTAGCGCCAGCCCCTCCGGAAGATCCAACTCCAGACACTTTTCTACGAACCTCCGTGACTGGCATCCTTTCGACTTCTACGTCCTCGGTTAGACTCTCGTCAAGTTGGGCTCTGCCCAACACCACTCTCGAGTTGAATCGTTCAGGACTGGCGGAGGATCGAGTGCGTCTCTCTTTCAGGAACGACGAGTCCAGCAAAACATTCCTCCTGTCCTCGTCGATGGTACCGAGATTGTTCTCATATCCACAGCTCCCTCTCCTAGGGCTGACGATCCTTCGATCTCTCGTGTTGAGGATCTCGCGAAGAGTTGGCAAACCTCCGCCAACCTCGACGATCTCTCGGTCGGATGTGTCTTCGGGATCCTCGATTTTGGGATTCTGTTGCCTGAAAAGAATACGTATTTATAATAGAAAAATTTATATCACTAAGATAGATTTTGTAAAATCAAGATTCAAGCTGGTTCTTTTCTGGACTAACAATTTTTCGCAGTACGTGGATTAATTATTTGTTTTGTTTATTCTTTTTTAATACAGAATGCGTTTTATAGAGCTGCGTCGATCGATGAATGAAAAGGTATATTGGTTCTATTTAAAAAAGCGGAGGCCTTGA